CAGCTTTTAGTTCAATTATGCATGATCTTATTTTGAATAAATTCATTATCAATTTTACAAATTTTTAAAAGAGTATCACTAAGAATAAAAAATTTACTCTTAAAAGCCCAGATGGGATTTTGCCACATACTTACCATGTAATTCTACACAAACTGTGATTTCTCTGAGGCTGTTAGCCACACATGTTCCAAGAATAGTCTTTATTCTGTTTTGTTTTTCTCCATTGTTGAAGATGAGCATAGGACCTCATCCATGCTCAATCAAACACTTACCACCGAGTACAGCCTCCGTCTCAACAGTCTTTGTTTCGTTTTGTTTCGTTTTGGTTTGAGACAGGATCTCTCTGTAACACCAGCTGGCCTGGAACTTGCTATGCAGACCAGGCTGGTCTAGATCTCATAGAGAGCTGCCAGCCTTGGCCTCCTGTGTGTTGGGATTAAAGGAGTGCACCACCACGCCTGGCTGAACAGTGGCTCTTAAACACTGCTGTGTATTAGAATATCTGAGAAGTATTTTCAGTTCCCCACAACCAGGCTTTATCTCACCAAATGCTGCATAATAATTGGGTTCAAGACCCAGCTATCTGCTTTTAAAACTCCCGAGGTAATTACAAAGTGCTTTCAATCTTGGAAACTAATGTCTCAGAGGATTACTGTCAATTTAGAAATGAACAAATGACAAAGTGCTACGTAAATGGAAATTAAGCATTAGCATTCTTCTTCTTTCATTCAGTCAAGATTTCAATGTTTCAATACCTTACTTGCCCAACATAGCTTCTTACTTTTCATTCCTCTCTTCTAGGTCCACTTCTTTCCTTCTAAAGTACAACTTTTGGAAGAGTTAAGAGACAGGGTGTGACTATAAAACTCAATTGCTGCAAAAAGGTGTCTTAATTTCACGTTCCCTCTTGAGTAATAAAATCTGACTAGCTGGAGAAGCTAACAGTTACTTTCCCTCAGCATTCCTAACTACACTCTGGCTTCAAGTGCTGTGACCGAGGAAGTACTTGTCAGTTCGTCTGCCATTCCTGAGGTTGCATAAGGAACTACCTGACAAGATGCACAAGCAGGAAAAAAAGATATTGCTCGGAATTTGGAGGGGATGGTTCTTTAATCTGAGGAAATAAGTCTTTCAATACTGGAAAGTTCGTAGTCAGGTCTTTTTTCCTTTCTTTTTAAGTTCCAGGTATCCCAGGCTGGCCTTGAACTTGGTTAAATGAACAAGGATGACTGCTGAACTTCTCATCCTCCTGCCTCCATCCCCCAAGTGCTGGGATTGTAAGTGTGCACTAGCAGGCCCAGTCTATCTCAGCTGTTATTTGAATATTACTTCTACAGTCTCAGTAATCTCCTGGTAAGTCCACATATTATGTATTCATGTATTTGTGAGATTATGCATATACAAACTGGACATCTCATTTACTATATGTGTAATAAATGCAGAAGGCTGGTTAACCTCTGATTTAGTTTCTTCTGTAAAGCAGAGAAACTGAAAGTGTCATCCTCATAAGATTACTATGAGAATTAAATGAGATGGCATATATCCTTTAAACGTTTGTGACAGTGCCTCATGCTTAATAAGTCAATATTGGGAGGTGTTTGTATTTTGTGTCATCCTATCTTAAAATGTCTTAAAGCTTAATTTTAGTTTTCAAACTGGAATATACCTCCCTATCCTTTTTTACTTTTAAAAAATATTTTAATTTTGACTTATTAAAGAGTACACTAGTCTCTTAATATACTTCACTACCTTTCATTACCAATTTCATGACCAACTTATAATCACCAAGAAATTAACCAAATACTGACACTAGTACAATACTTCTAACTAGAAGCTACAGACTTAATTGGAATTTCTTCAGTTTTCTCACTAATGTCCTGTCTCTTTTGTAGCATCACACGTGGCATACACTGTCAAGTTTAGTCTCCATGTCCAAACGGTTTCTTCTAATCTGTCACACTTTTCAATCTCTTCTTTGCTTGATACTCTTGATGAATACTGGTCAGGTATATTGTAGCATCCTCAATTTGGAGATATCTGTTATTTTCTCATTATAAGCTGAAATCATGGAATCGGGTGAAGATTTCACAGACAACGTGCCTTTCCTGTTGCATCGTATCAGGAGGTACATTATATTGTAATCTTGATCACTTACTGAAGATACCCATGAGATTTCTTTACTATAAGTTTATTCTTCCTTCTTCACACTTTATTCAGTCAGAGGCAAATTATAGCCCAAACCACACAAAAGGGAATTCATTGCTTTAATTTTTTTAAGTTATTTTACTTTTAATTATGTGTATGGGGGGGTAATAGGGGAGGTTGAGTGAGTGCAGGTGACTGAGGAAAACCAGAGGTATTGGATCCCTTGGGGGTAGAGTGACAGACAGTTATGAGCTGTCTGACATGGGTGCTGGGAACTGAACTTGGGTCATCTGGAAGAACAATATGTGCTCTGAACCTCTGAGCTCCCACTGTTTTAAATACAGAAACATTCGGTTCCAACAAGCTTGATTCTTTTATCATAGTCCATCTTTTGTATGATTTTGATTTGTTTTATTATTTTACTTATTTTAACTAAACTTATTTTATAATCTTTTCTGCTATACTGAATTATCTAAAGTTCTCAGAGAACAAATGCTATTTCTGTCTGCCAACTCTAGTTCATACTGTACTGTTACTATGTGTACTATAATTTGGACTGTGGTCATATCTTGAGTGGAGTAGTATATATAGGAGTCAAGGGGCCTAGAGTTTGCAAGTGTTCTTATAATGCATTTCTGAGACTGCTTCAACTAAATTTCGAACAGTAAATACAACTGGTTTGTCAACACTGTTTTTACTTTTAAATGCTGAGAGTTGCTAGACTTGGATTCAGAATGGGGAGTATGAATTTAAGATTTTCAACCTGCAGGACATCAAGGTCAAAGGGCTTAATTCCTTAAGAGATATTTTGTTGCCTCTTAGTGGTAACAGCTTTTATTCAGATTTATTCCCAGTGAGACTTCTGACAGTCCTAGCTCTAAGTAAAAACTCAGTTGAGAATCTCTGCCAGGTGGACTCAAGGTCCCAATACCAATTACTACATGGGAGTTAGAAATCCGACCTAGTAGGGTATCAGAATGAATAGTGTTCCACTGGTGGTGGTCATGGATTAGTCCACAGTTCTCTAATTTATGGATTCTTCATTGTTTCTGGCATTCAAGGACCTTTAAATATGATAGATTTTCTGGCACTTCTAGGTACTTATAACAAGAATTTGTTTTTAATCAAATACCTTGCAAAAGCAAAGGTATTCCCTGTTTTTTTTTTTTTAAAGTCATTTACTGAGAAACAGAAAAAAACTTCTAAAAACATAGACATGAACTTTGCTGCCTGTTTTTCTTACCCTTTCCATTATTTCGAACAGTAAATTCTGAAGCCCCATTACATATACTAGAGACATGATCAAGGATGTCAAAGTCTTTTACTTTTGTCGACCTTTAGAGAAAACAAAATTAAAGAACTTTTAGTGCTAAGAAACTTGGTGGAATATACAGTCGTCCCTTGGTATCCCAGGAGAATTGGTTCCAGGACCCCTTTGCCAATACCAAAATCTGATATTCAATCCCTTATATTCAATAGGCACAGTATTTTCATACAACCCACAAAATCCTCCCACGTACTTTGTATCATCTCCAGAATAGATGTAATAGCTAACATAATGTAAATGCTGTATAAATAGTTGTTATACTGCATTGTTTGGGGAGTAATACCCCCAAAAATATATGCCTGTTTTAGTACAGATACATCTTTTTCAGAGTATTTTTGATCCAAAGTTGGATGAATTTGTGGATGTGGACCTGTGGATATGAAGAGCTGACTATATATACAAAAAACACAGAAAAATAAGATACAGTGGGAACACGCCAAAGTTACAAATCAGTTTTAGAGTCAAGTTCTACCTCTGTGATTAGGTATCTGGATGACCTCAACAATCAGATTCTACTCAGTGATCTCACAGTATATGATGCTGTTTAATACAACACATCAGGAGCTCTTATTGATCTGCTGCAGGCTATACTTATTTTGTTATTAAACTATAAATGGCAGTGGGATATATGTTTACCAATAAATTTTAAATGCAAACTGAAAAAAAAATCTTTCCCATTA